ATTGCCTAGCACCAGACCGGAACGTCCGCGTCGCCGCGCCCGCGACGCCGCTCAGCGCCGCGAAGCCGCCGCGCGCGAGCTCGAGGCCCCGCGACGCCTGGCTCGCGGCGATCTTCCGCGCGGCCTCCGTGAGCGTGCCCACCGTGTCCTTCGTCTTCGCGACGTTGTCGTTGAGTTTCGAGGCCGTGGCGACGGAGAGGTCCTTGAGCCGGTCGAGCGCCGACGCCTCCTCCTCGGCCGTCGTCGGCGCGCTGTTCCGCGGCGTCGTCGCGGGCGTCATGACCGGCGTCGAGCCGGAATCGAAGGTGTGCGGGTCCAACATCGTTGGGCAGCGTGTGCGTTGATTTCCGTTGTGACACGGTGCACGGGAAGCTTCCGTGTGGGTGAACTTCTGCAGTTGACCTGCAATGGTCGGGCTGCCTTAACTAACCTGGAAATGGCCGACGTGCACGCGCGCAAGGCGCGCAAGGGCAAGACGACGCGGCCGCCGCTGCTGGACACGCTCGTCGAGGAGGAGCTCCAGCTCAACGCTTTGGTCGCGACGCGCCTCGAGCGCTCGAAGCCGCCGCCGCCGCCGGAGCGCCCGGCGAAGCGCGCCGTCGGCAGCGACGCGGACAAGGAGAACATCTTCCAGTGGCGCCTGAAGCGCGAGGCCCTCGGCGGCGCGGACCTGCCGCCGCCGAAGCCCGCCTTGGGCCGCGCGGCGCGGGCCGCGGCGCGGGCCGCGCCCGCGGCGCTCGGGGCCGCGCCGAAAGCGCTCGCGGCGTCCGCGTCGGCGCCCCTCTTCCCCGCACCGCTCGAGGCGCCCGACGTCGAGCCCGTCGCCGTGCTCGCAAAGTCCGGGTCCGCGCCGCACCTGCGGAAGAAGAAGCAGCCGCGGGCCGCCGCGAAGGCCGGGGCGCGCGCCGCGCCGTGCGCCGGGTCCGGCGCGGCGGCGATCAAGGACCGGCGGCGCCTCGTCAAGGAGCGCCGCGCGGAGCGGCGCGAGGAGCGGGCGCGGGAGCTCCTGGGCCGCGTCGAGGCGAAAGCCGCGAAACGCGACGGCCTCCGGCGCGCGCGCGCGCTCCTCGCGGCCGTCGCCGTCGCCAAGGCGTCGGCGACGCTGGGCTACGCGCTGAGCTCCTGCTTCGTCTACGGCGCGCGGCTCCGCGTCGCGCGCGCGCTCCAGCGGCTCTGGCGCGTCGCCGCGGCGCGGGAGCGGCTCCGGCTCACGCTGCGCCTCATCGGCGCCGTCGGCGGGAACCTGCGCTGGGTCGTCGCGAGCCGCGTCCGGCGGAAGCGCGTCGCCCTGGGGCGCATCCGCCGGTGCCTCCGGAGCGGCCGGGGCGCCGCGCACCGCTTCCGGCGCGTCGTCTTCGCGTTCCACCGCAAGGTCCGCGTCGTCCAGCGCGCGTGGCGCGACTTCGCCGCGTGCGGCGACGGGCGCGTCGAGGCGTTGCGGATCTTGTGGGCCGCCGCCGTCGACGTCGAGGTCGCGCGGGAGCGCGCGGCGTGCGACGCGCTCGAGCGCGCGGACGAGAAAGCGCGGAAGGTCCTCGTGTCCCGGAGCGCCGCGCGGGCCCAGCAGCTCGCGGACGAGCGCACGGCTACGCGCAAGCGCGCGTCCGCGGACGCGGAGCGCGCGCGGCGGTTCCGGGAGATCGGCGCGGGGCTCAAGGAGATCAAGACGCGGCTGAAGAAGGCCGACGCGCTCGTGCTGCTCGCGCACTCGCGGTCCTTCGCGTCTTCTTCCAAAATCCGCACGGCGCGCGACGCGCTCCTGTCCGTCGAGCGCCACGCCGTGCCCGACGCGCGGCGGGACGCCCTGCTGCGGGGGTTCCTGCGGGACCTGCGGCGGCGCTTCGCCGCGGCGTCCGCGGGGGTGGTGGCCGAGCGGCACCGCGCGACGGTCCACGAGGTCGACGAGGTGCGGAGCCTCCTGCGGGGCGACGCGGACGTCGCGGCCCTCGTGCCGCGGTCGAAGCGGTGCCGCACGCTGCCGCTCTTCCTCCAGCGGCGCGAGCTCCGCGACCCGCGGCTCGACGGCGGCGGCGGGCGGCGGCCGCCGCCGTCGCCGCACTGGACCGCCGTGCCCGCGACGCCGTCCGCGCGGGGCGCCGTCTTCGCCGGGGCCATGACGCCGTCACGGAGCCGCGTCTGGAAGATGCTGCGCGCGGCCGCGCCGGAGGCCGCCGAGGCGGCGGAGGCCGCGCCGAGCCTCCGCGACGCGGTCCACGCGCTCTACGTCGCGGAGCACGACCGCCAGCGGGACCGGCGGGAGAAGAAGCGCGACCGGCGCCTGCGCCGGGGGCGGCGAGGCCTCCTCGAGGACCCGTCCCTCGCGGGCCGCTCCGAGCGGTCCGTCACCTTCGCCGACGCGACGGTCGCGACGTTCCTCAGCGACGCGTCCCAGGTCGGCCCGCCGAGCCCCATCCTCGTCTAAAAGGTCGCCTTCTTAGTCTACAACACAACAACACATACAGCTCGCTCGAAGGAGAGGAATCCCCCCCCGCGCGGCAACACATCACATGGCACTCAGGCGCGGCCGCGGCCGCGGCCGCCCTTGCCTTTCCCGCCCCTGCGACCGCGGCCGCGGCCGCCCCCGCGGCCGCGGCCACCGTTGGGCTTGCCCTTGGGCGAGCGCGGAGCCGGCGCGACGCCGAAATGGTTTCGAGCCGCGAAGAAGCACGCGCGCTCGTCTTCGTCGAGTCCGAGATCCTCGAGGTCTCCCTCCTGGAGGAGTTTGATGACGTCCATTTCGAGCGCGTCCGCGTCTGCGAATGCGTCGCGCCGGTGGCTCAGACCGGCGTCCTCGAGAAAGTTCGAGGCGCTGCTCTCCGAATCCTGCGGCTCGCGTCGGCGAACGGGTTCGGGGGGCTCGAAAACGCTCGCCAGCGTCGCCAGCGTCGCCTTGAGCTGGTCAAGCTCCTGCTTTTGACTCTTCGCCTCGGCGCGGGCCGCTCGCAACGCCGCCTTGGACTCCGTCGCCAGCGTCGCCTTGAGCTGGTCGAGCTCCTGCTTTTGACTCGCCGCGTCCGCGCGGGCCGCTCGCAACGCCGCCTTGGACTCGTCGAGCTCCCGTTGCAGCGACAAACGCGCCGTCTCGGACGCGGCGAGCTTCTCTTCGGCGCGGGCCGCGCCGAGCGCCGAAGCCGTCAGTCTCCCCCCGAGCTCCTGCTGCAGCGACGAACGCGCCGCCTCGGCCTCGGCGAGCCGCTTCTCCATGGACCTCAGCTGCTCCTCCAATCGCAGCGTCGCCGCGTTGGGCTTGGGCGGCGACGGGAGCGAGGGAAAGGACTCCTCGTAGACGTCCTCCCGCACCGTCGGGAGTCCATTCGACTCCGCGTTGCGCGCGGCCAGGAGCCCGCGGAGCATGTGCGCCGCCTCGTCCGTGGCTTCGACGGACGCGGAGGCGACGAGGTAGCCGAAGTGGCCGCGCTCCGCGTGGTCCGAGATCTTCGTCTCGACGCCGCGGTCGCGCAGGATCGCCTGCTCGACGCGCTCCACCTCGCGGGCCGGCGCGCGCTTGCCCCGGAAGGGCACGAAGGCGCGCTCGAGGCAGCCGTGCGGGATCGCCTTGGTGTAGAACGCGGTGACCCCCGTGGCGCCCGGCGCCTCGACGTAGACGAGGCCGCGGTACTCGTAGCGCGCGCGGCCTCGGTCGCCGCGGCGGGGCGCGCCGTGCTTCTTGGCCTCCTGCAGCTCGCGCAGAGAGATGGTCCGCTCGACCATGCGCTCGCCCGCGTGGCGCGACGGCGCGACGGCGATCTGGGACGTCGCCGTCGACGTCGCGTGCGAGGCGGCCGTGGAGACGACGCTCGGCGGCGCCGCGGCCTCGGAGGACGCGTCCCAGCCGCCGAGGTCCCGGTCGAAGTGCTCGCAGCCGCGGAACATGGACTTCGCCGCCGCGGACGCGTCCGCCGGGGCGCGCGGCGCGGCGGCCGCGGCCATCTTCTCGTCGAGGAGGCGCCGCGCGAGTTCCCTGGCGCGGCGCGGCGCGGCCGCGGTCCTCGCGGCCGGCCGCGCGGCCGCCGGCCGCGCGGCCGCGGCCGCGCGCGCCGCGGCGAGGGCCGCGTCGGCGGCCTCCTTCGCCCGCCGCGCGTCCTCGACCGCGGCGTCGTAGGCCGCCTTGTCCGTGCGGCGGAGGTGGTCGCGCGACGCGCGGAAGGCGTCGGCGTCGCGGCCGAGGCGGCGCCACGCGTCGGCCGCGAGGCCGGGCGCGCCGGCGGCCTCGAGCGCGGCCGCGAGCGGGACCTCGCTGCCCTCGCACTCGGAGCGCGCGAGGAGGTAGGCGGCGTCGAGCGCGAGGCCCTCGGCCTCGGCGCCGGCGGCGCGCCGCGCGGCCGCGAGCGCGTCCTGGCCGACGCAGAGCAGGCGCCGCGGCTCGTCGCCGGACTTGGCGAAGCAGTCCGCCGCGCGCGTGAAGTCGCCCGCGTCGCCGCGGCGGAGGAACGTGGCGCCGCGCGCGCCCCACTCGCGCGCCTCGGACGCGCGCGCGAGCGCGAGCGCGCCGCCGGTCTTGGAGAAGACGCCGTCGTGCGCGCGCGCGACGCGGCGGTCGAGGAGCGCGCGGAAGAACGCGTCGCGCGCGCGCGGCGACTGGTCGAAGAAGACGAGGCGCTCCCGCGCGCGCGTGACCGCGACGTAGAGCTGCTTGAGCTCGTCGCTGAGCGCGAGGTGGACGCGGGCGTCGAAGGCCTCGGCGACGCGGTCGCCGAGCTCGACGCCGCACGCGCGCGCGACGGCGCCCCAGCCGCGGTCCGCGGCGACGCTGTCGGAGAAGAAGTTCCAGACGAAGACGTCCGTGAATTCGAGGCCCTTGGCCTCGAGGGGCGTCATGACGAGCGCGCCCGCGAGCTCCGCGGGCAGCTCGCGCTTCGCGGCGGCGTTGCGGACGATGATGACCTGGTTCGCGCCCATCTCCGTCACGGCGTTGCCGCCGGAGAAGACCTCGGCGACGTCGTCGAAGGCGTCGTCGGTGAAGAGGAGCGGCAGCTCGCCCGCGAAGTGCGCCCGCTCCGGCGCGACGACGTCGACGCTGTTGGGGAAGAGCGCCATCATCTCGAGGCAGAGGTTCGCGACGGCGAGCACGCCCTGGTGGCAGCGGTAGTTCGTCGTCAGGACCTTGAGCTCCGCGGGGCGCGGCACGCGCGGCGCGGCCGGCGGCCGCGCGTCGCGGGGCGCGGCCCAGTGCTCCCGGAGCCGGCGCTCGGCGCGGTCGCGCCGCCGGTGCAGCGTCGCGCGCAGGTCCGTGAAGGAGAACGTGACCTTGCAGATCGTCTGCGCCGTGTCGCCGCCGACGAGGAGGCGGTCCTCGTCCTCGAGGAGCTGGAGGAGCAGGACGACCGTCGACAGCGTGAAGTCCTGGACCTCGTCGAGCATGAGCCCGGCGAGCTCGACGCCCTCGTAGGCGCCGCCGCGGCCGAGGACCTGGGTCATGCACGACGACACGAGGTCGCAGATGTCGTAACCGCCGCACTCGTTCTTGTCCCGCTCGTAGTTCTCGAAAATGTCGTAGACCGCGTCGCGGTCGCCCCACCGCTCGTGGCCCGCGGACGCGAGGCCGGCGAAGGCGGGCGCGGTCTTCCGCGGCAGCGCGAGGTACTCGTCGCGCGTGAGCGGCTTGCCGAGCGCGCTGACGCGGGGCGCGCCCTTGACGTGCGTCAGGATCTCGGACCAGACGACGCCCGGGTCCGCGCGGACCGCGGCGCTGGGCTGCCACCAGCGCAGGAAGGCGTCCGTGGTCACCTCGCGGGACGCGGCGTCGCCCGCGGCGAATCCGAAGCCGCGCGAGCCGCGGCGCGCCGCCGGCTCGGCGCCGCGCGCGTCGCGGCTGCTCGACTCGTGCTCGCGGAGGCTCGCCTCGAGGGACGCGACGTCGGCGACGGCGCCGCCGGGGCGCGCGCCGAGCAGGGGTCGCGCGCAGGACGCGTCGACGGCCGCGAGGAGCTCCCGCGTCGTGAGGAAGAGCACGCGGGGGAGGCCGTCGTCGGGCGGGAGGTCCGCGGCGCGCAGCGACGCCGGCGGCGCATCGTCGCCGGTCGCCGGGAGGCCCAGGTAGGCGTGGCGGAGGCTGAGGAAGGCCTCGCGGACGGACGCGCGGAGCACGTTCGAGCCCGTCGCGAAGACGACGACGCCGCCGTCGCCCGCGGCGACGGCGCGGCGGTACGCGCCCCAGAGCGACTGGAGGATGATCAGCGTCTTGCCCGTGCCGCCGCGGCCCAGGAGCAGCGTCGGCGACGGGTCGGACGCCCAGGCCTCGACGTGCGCCTGCTCGTCGTGGTCGAGCTCGAAGGACGACTGCACGCCGCGCGGCGGCCCGAGGAAGTCGTGGCTCGCGGCGATGGACGCGAGCGCGGTCGTGAGCCGGAAGAACTTGCAGACGCCCGTCACGCTCACGGGGTCGGGCAGCTTGTAGTAGAGCTCGCCGGCTCCCGGCGCGCGCTCCAGCTCGTACGCGAGCGGCGACGCCCGGCCCTTGCGGTGCAGCTGCGCGATTCGCGCGGCGAGCGCCGCCAACGTCGCCGGGTCGCGCTCGTCCAGCGCGTAGACCCGCAGGACGCGCCGGTGCGCGAGCTCGCCGCCGACGTAGTCGAAGGCGCGCTCGAAGAGGACGCCGTCGCACCGGAAGAGCCGCAGCGCCGCGCCGCCGACGCGCGTCGCGCCGGGCGCCGCGGCTTCGGTCGCCACGCGCAAGACCACGTCGAGCGCGCGCCGCCGCGACTCGCCGTCGAGCTGGAAGAGCTGCGCGAGCGCCTCGGGCGCGAGGAGCGCGGGGATCTCGGGCTCGAAGGCCGCGGCCCCGTCCGTCCGCCCCGGGTCCGTCCGCCCCGGCGCGGCGCCGCGCGCCGGCGCGTCGACCTCGGCCGGCCCGGCCGCGGGCTTGAGCTCGGCGACGCGCTCGGCGACCTTCGCGAGCTTGACGGCGTCGTCGATGCGCCGCGCCTCGGCGCGCCAGTCCTTGGGCGCGCGGCGCGTGACCGACTCCATGGCCTTCGCCGACTGCGCGTCGCGGCGAGAGGTGATCGCGGCGCGGATGAGCTTCTTCGCGTCGCCGGTCGCCGTCTCGTAGGGGCTCTCGCCGCGGCGGTTCAGGAACGCGCGGCCCCAGCGGGCCCCGCGCCGGAGGAGCTCCTCGACGGCGCCCACGTCGCCGCGCGCGCACGCGCGGTGGAGCGGCGTGTCGCCGCGCGCGGTCCGCCGCCGCCAGGCGTCCGGGTCGGCGTCGAGCAGCAGCGCCGCCGCGTCCCTGGACCGCGCGACGTGGAGCGGCGTCGCGCCGAGGTCCGGGCCGCCGGCGCCGTCGGCGAGGACGTCGCGCGCGTGCTGGTGCGCGCGGACGAGGGCCTCGGGGCACGCGGCGCGCGGCGCGCGGCACTCGCCGACGCGGTCCGCGGCGACGAGCGCGTGGAGGGGCAGGCCGCCCGCCGCCGCGGCGGCGGCGAGGCGCGGCGCGACCGCGTCGAAGCCGGGGAGCGCCGCGTGCTCCGGGACCGCGAGCAGCTCGAACGCGGCGGCGGGGCCGAGCGCCGCGCCGCGCTCGAGGAGCAGCGCGCAGACGGCGACGCGCTTCGGCGACGGCGACGCCACCGCGGACCGGAGCGGCGTCTCGCCGGCGAAATTCTCGGCGTCGACGGCGCGCGCCGCGCCGCGCGCCGCGAGCAGGTCGAGGAGCGCGCCGCACGTCGCCACGGACCCGGCCTGCGCGGCGTAGTGGAGCGGCGCGCAGCCGAAGGCGTCCGGCGCCGCGAGGTGCGCCACCGTCGCGCACCTCGCGACGGCCTGCACGACCTTCGGCGGCCGCGCCAGCTGGACGACGACCGACAGCGGCGTCCGGCCGTAGTCGTCCGTCGGCGCCGGGCCCGGCGGCGTCGCGACGGCCGAGACGAGCGACTCGTCGCAGCGCGCGAGGATCGCGTGCCACGGGCTCAGGCCGTGGGGGGCGGGCCGCTCGCCGCTCGGCACGGCGCCGCCGCGGCCGAGCGCGGCGAGCCGCGACGCGACCGCGACGACGAGCCGCCGCCGCACGGCGCCGTTGAGCCCGGCCCGGCCGAAGACGTCGGCGACGAACGGCCGCGCGCCCGTCGAGGCCCAGGCCTCGAGCGCGGCGCCGTCGCAGAAGACCTCGACGAGCGCCTCGAAGATCCCCGTCATCGCGGCGCGGTTCGCCTCCGAGGAGACCTTCCAGACGTTCTCGAGCGTCGCCCGCAGGTCCGCGACGCGCACGTAGCTCACGGCGCCCTCGACGGCGAGGACCATGTGCATGCACGTGATGCCGGCGCTCTTCGCCTCGTAGATGACGCTCTCCTCCTCCAGGCGCAGCGCGTAGCGCAGCGCGTTCCCGACGAGCTCCGTGCGGACCGCGCGCAGCCGCTCGCCTTCGCCGTCGCGGCCCGCCTCTTCGTCGATCAGTCGAACCGTCAACAGGGTCTTCACGACGTCAGCCTCTTGCAGCCGAAGGGCGTCCTTGAGCCACGCGAACACGTCGCGAGCGAAGACCCCCTGGAAGCCCTGGACCGAGAACGCGCGCTTGACGCCATCCCCGCTGAGAGTGGACGAGACGAAATGCGCAAAGCTTCGGCTCGTGGCCAGCGTTGCGTCCTGGAGCCGCATGGAGGACTGGAGAACCACGGCGTAGTGCCAAACAGGTTGGAATTCTGTGATTTTCGTTTTTTTGCTCGTTTTATCGCGCTCCATTGCAATTTGCTGGAACTTCACGAGATACTCAAATTTGGAGACATCGCGCGTTTTGGTAGCTCCAAAATCCGGGATATGTGCGATTCTTCGCTCGAAGAGGCAGTCGCTCCAGCCCAGAACCTCGGCTTGGACCTCGCGGGCGACGGGTGACGTTTTGGAGTCCCGTTCCGGCGCTTTTTGATCCCCACCTTTCTTTACTTCTTTCATTCGAGTAACTGTCTCCATCATTCCAAAGGGGTGAAAAACATACACTTTGTCTCCGCTGAAAAACTCGGGCATCGCGTCACTTCCGCCGTACAGGTACAGGAGGTACGAACCACGTAACGACGCCGTATCCTCGACCAGAGTTTCCTTTTTTTTAAGACTGGCCTTTTCATGTAACCATTCAGCCCAACGTCCGATGGCGCCCGCCTCGGCTGGATCGACCGACTCGCCTTCATCTTTGGGGTCGTCTTCTCGATTATCCTCGGCCTGGGCGATCGCATTCATTCGCGCCTTGTCTCGAGCCTTTTCCCTTCGAGTCTTTTGATTTTGAGTTTCCTCAGACTGGCGCTTGACTACGCGTTTCCGCTGCTTGAGAACATCATCTTCCCAGGATGCGCCGTCGGCGAGTGCGCGGCGAAGCACCTCCAATCGCCGGTCGCGTTCACTCGCAAGGAGCATTCGATGGACGACGGATGCCGCGATGCCGGACTGCCTTTGGCTAGTTAATGGATAAAGTACGGTTTGGCTGTCATCAAGGCTCTTGGCAGCGACGTCTAAGAAGATTGAAGCCAGCGAAGGCCGCGCCTGCGATTTCCACATGCGGGTAAACAAGTTCTGAATCTTCTTCTCGCCAGGAAGTGGTACCGCGAGCAGCTCCCCGCTCAGCTTGCCCGAATGATTTAGCGGATTGACATTCACGGCCGTTTCCTGAAACGCCAACGCGTAGCCGCGGTTGACCACGTTCTGGAGCTGCGGCGGAAGCGCCAAGCCGCTCGCCGAGTAGTCCTTGGGCCCCACGAGCGAGCCGCTCGCCGAGTAGATCTTTGTCTTCGCGAGCGACTCGGTGGCCATCGCGGCCCATGCGCACAGTCGCCGCGAAAGCAGCTGCTCCCGCCCCTCGCGCACCATTTCGAGCTTGACGGCGGCGAGCGCTTTGGCGGCGGACCCAGCCTCGGCCCCGGCCACGGCCGCGGCGAGTCGATCCGCGCCAACCTCACGCAGGACGCGGTCCAAGGCCACGCCTGCGGTAGGACAGCACCCTCCGGTGTCTTCCATCCACGAGAACTCGACGAACGCGCCGGCCTCGGCAGCGGCGGAATCGTGGACATCGGGAGGCCACGCGCGCGCGCCCGACGTCGGCTCTAGAAACTGGGGGCGTGCCCGTTCGACGCCACCGTCGCGCAGCAGCGCGTCGCGCGCTGCGACAACGCGCCGCGTGTTGCGATCCGCAGAATCGCCGCAGAGCGCGACCGCAGCGTCGATCTCCGCGGTCGCTGCGCCGTGCGCCGCCCACGCGCGGCCCGGCGCTGCCGCGCCCTTGGCCCAACTGTCGGCAGCTATCAAAGCCTCGCGCACGACGCGCAGTCGCTCGTGCGTGCGCTTCGCACGAATGTACACTCGCCCGACGGGCGCCAAGCCGACGAGACGCGATGCCATGCCGCGCCATCGACGCGCCGCGTCGGCCGCGCTGAGCGCCGCGGCTGCGGGGTCCGGCGCCTGACCTGCTGCCTCCATAGCCGCTGCGCGGCACCGCGTAGTGGTGCCTAGACGCCGCCCCACCTCCGCGGGTGGCGCTCGCGCCGATGGTTCAGGGGACTTGCCCATCACCTGGGGCCGGGTGCAGCGGCCATCGGCGAGACTTTCGGCGAGCGCGACTGCTACGCGAGCCATGTGGCGAGGGCGAAATGGCCCGTACCGATGTGTCTCGTCGTCGTATGTTGCCAAGCCGCGTCATATGCTGCCCAAACCCGGGTCTTCCCGCACCCCCGGATTCGAGCCGCGAACCCGCGCTCGTGTTAGCAGGGGAAGACGCCCATGACGCGGTTCGAGTCCGGGTCCCGCGCGGCGTTGCGGCTCGAGTCGACGGACCGGCCGCCGCCGCCGGCGCAGAAGAAGGAGTCGAGGCTCACGTAGGGCACCATGCACCGCTTCCGCGCGGCCATGAGCGCGAAGGCGAGCCTCGACAGGTTCGACGTGAATTTGCCGACGAAGCCGTCGCACCGCGCGAGGAGCAGGAGGTCCGCGGCGAAGCCGTAGTACTCGGTCCAGGGCTCGACGAGGACGGCGTGCTTGCTCGTCGCGGCGTAGGCGTGCTCGAGGCGCTGGACCTCGCCGAAGACGCTCGGGTCGACGCGCGGCGACCGCCGCGCGACGACGTTGAGATGGCCGAGGCCGCGCCGCGGGAGCTCGGCGACGAAGGCCGCGAGCGCCGCGTCGCTGTCCGTCGCGACGACGACCGTCGCGTAGCCGTAGCGGCGCGCGAGGTCGCCGACGGGCGCCGCGTAGGCCTCCGCGGGCGTGCAGACGCGGCCCGTGGCCTCGCCGTCGCGGCAGCTGTCGCCGTGGCGCAGGTGGACGCCGAGCCAGGGCCGCGGCGCGTCGCCCAGGCCGAGGAGCGCCGCCTCGCCCTCGACGGCGTCCGCGAGCCCCGGCGACGGCGTCGCGAACGCGGCGTAGCTCGCCGCGAAGGACCAGAAGCGCGCGGCGCCGCTCGCCCCGTCGCCGACGAGCCGCTCCGGCCGCCGCGGCGCGCGGGGGTCGGCCGGCGGGCCCGGGGGCGGCCGCTTGCGCCGGTTCGTCGGCGGCGGCGGGCACGCGGCGAGCGGCGCGGCGCACGAGCCCGCGCCGCCGCCGAAGGCGTCGAAGAAGCACGCCGTCGACGCGTTCGCGCCGACGCAGCGCCGCCGGTCGCGGTCGACGACGGCCCGCGCCGCGGCGACGCGCGCGTCCGACGCCGCGTCGAGCGCGAAGAGCCGCTGCGCCGCCGCGCCTCTCAGCGCCGCGTGCATCGGGACCGCCGGGAACTGGCGCTTCGCGACCATGGTCCGCGCGCGCAGCACGGACACGGCGAGCTGGGACCCGAACCCGAAGTTGTGCGGCGCGACGTCGCCGGCGCAGGTGGCGAAATAGCACAGCGTCTCGCCGAGCGTCCGCCAGTCGTCCAGCGCCGCGGCGGCGGCGGGCGTCGGCGCGTCGGACGCCTCCGACGGCGACGGCAGGTAGGACATGTTCCGGTAGGGGTCGACGACGCCGCCGCCGTCGAAGCAGAGCTCGCTGCTCGCCGCGACGGCCCACAGGAAGGCGTGCAGCCAAACCATCATGGGCAGCCCCAACTGGCCGCTCGGCCGCCCGGGGGTCGCGCGCCTCCCGTCGCGTGCCGTCCGGAGCACCGCAAACCCCCCTGGGGGAGGCCCTCTAGCTGTTAACCTCTCCTAGCCTAGCTGTGGCAACGTTGACACAGATCGCTCATTGAACCGCGCGATGTACCATCATCTCCGCCCCGTGGCTGCCCGCCTGCTCGGCGGCGTGGCAGTGTGCGGTGGCGGCGTCGCGCTGGCCAAGGCGCAACGCGAGGACGAGTGCGACGCGACGGTCGATTACATCGTCGTCGGCGCTGGCTCGTCGGGCTGCGCCGTGGCCGCGCGCCTCGCCCAGGGTGCGCCACATTGCTCGACGCTGCTGCTCGAGGCCGGCCAGGACGACGACGTCGCTCAGATCCAGACGGCGGTCGACTACTTCGGCAAGGTCGAGCACGTCTTCGGCAGCGACAGAGACTGGATCTACGGGTCCGAGCCGCAGCCGGAGATCGGCGGCCGGGGCCTCTACTGGCCGCGCGGCAAGGTCGTCGGCGGCTGTTCGTCGTTCAACACCATGGTCTTCCTGCGCGGCGACCCGCGGGACTTCGACCACTGGGCGCGGCTCCTCGGCGACGCGAGCTGGGCCTACGACGCCGTGTTGCCCTATTTCAGGAGGGCGGAGACGCACCCCGCGGGCCCTTCCGAGCTGCACGGCGCCGCGGGCCCCATCACGGTCGCGCCGCTGGACCACCCGTGGCACCATCCCGACGACGCGTCGAGCTTCGCGACGAAGGCCTTCGTCCGGGCCGCGGTGGCCATGGGCGTTGCCGCGAACCGCGACTTCGCCGCGACGACGTCCGGCGTCGGCTGCAACGACGTCAACGCGCGCGGCGGCCGCCGCTGTTCGACGTCTGCCTACCTCAAGATGGTCGGCGCCTACCCGCGCGCCGGGCAGACGGAGGCGGCGTCGCCGTCGGGCGCGCTCCGCGTCGAGCTCGAACGCGAGACGCGGGAAATCCTCTGGGACCGCGGCGGCGCCGTCCCCCGCGCCGTCGGCGTCGAAGTAGCGCGGCGCGGCGGCGCGGTCCGGCGCTACCGCGCGCGGCGCGAGGTCGTCGTCTGCTGCGGCGCCGTGAACAGTCCGCTGCTGCTGCTGCGGTCGGGCGTCGGTCCGAGGAAGGACCTCGAACGACGCGGCATCCCCGTGGTCCGCGACGCGCCGGGCGTCGGCCAGCACCTCATCGACCATCTGCACGTGCCGCTGTCGTACCGCGTGGCCGGCGGCGTGACGCCGCACTCGCACAGCAACATCTGCGAGGGCTCGATGTTTACGCGGCTCCGGCCGGCGGCCGGCGACGCCCGGGGCGACGCGCCGGACCTCCAGGTCCATTTGGGTACCGTGTTCTTCCACCCCGACGGCTTCAATCCGATAGGCGAAGGCTTCACGCTGACGCCGTCGCTGATCCACCCGCGGTCGCGCGGCTCCGTGTGTTTGAGGGACGACTCGGACCTGCCGCTCATCCGCCCCAACTACCTCACGGACCCCGAGGGCTACGACCTGAAATTGCTGGTGGATGGGGTCAAACTCTGCCGGGACTTGGGGCGCCGCATCTGCGCGGACGTCGGCGCGACGGAGGTCCACCCGGGCCCGGCCGTCGAGACGGACGCCGACGTCGAGGACTACGTGCGCAAGTACGTCTCGACGATGTACCACCCCGTCGGCACGTGCCGCATGGGCGACGTCGTCGACGCGGCCCTGCGCGTACGGGGCGTCGCCGGCCTCCGCGTCGCCGACGCGTCCGTCATGCCCGACATCGTCGGCTGCAACACGAACGCGACGTGCGTCATGATCGGCGAGCGGTGCGCGGACCTCGTCCTCACCGCGGAGCCGCCCTAACGAGAACCATAGAGCTCCAGTTTGTTGAACTGCAATGACGACTTCAAGCTTGTCACCAACTCACGCATGATGGTGGTGCGACTCTCTGCGTTCGTCGTCATCGCCCACGTCGCGCAGGCCCTGCGCCCGTGTCAAACCCTCCCGAGAAGACGCACGGCCCTCGCCTCCGTGGCACCACCACCGCCGGACCTCGGCGTCATCGGCGCCGCCTGGGAGCTGACGCCGAACACCGACGACTTCGTGCTCACCCTCGAGCACGAGGCGCCGCCGGTCTTGCGCATCGACGGGTTCCTCACGAGCGACGAGTGCGCCACGTGCGTGCGGACGGCCTGCCGCGACGACGTCGAGGAGTGCACGGAGTATTTGAACAACCGCGTCAACACGGACGACACCGCCGCCGAGTCCTCCGGCTACACCGCGGAGCAGGCCAAGGAGGCCGTCGAGTGGAGCGGCGGGGCGACGTCCGGGCGGCGCGTGCGCATGCCCGAGGAGGTGCTCGACATGATCGCGCCCAAGGCGCTGAAGCTGCTCGGCCTGGAGCACCGGAACTACCGCTTCGCCGAGGAGTTGTACTACCGGCCGGACCGCGCGACGGTGCTCATCCGCGACGCGACGGTCGTGCGCTACCGCGGCGGCGAGGGCGTCGCGCCCCACGTCGACGGCAAGGACGCGACGCTGTTGGTCTACCTGAACACCGTCGAGCCGGGCGGGGGCGGGCGCACGGTCTTCCCCGAGGACGGCCTCGCGTTCCCGCCCGTCGGCGGCAACGCGCTCCTCTACGACTCGCGCCTGGACCTGCTCCACTTCGCCGAGCCCGTCGAGGACGGCCACGAGAAGTGGATCCTCCAGCTCCTGATCGACCACCGGCTCCCGCCGGGCCACGAGCGCATGCCCCTCGTCGACTGGGACACGGGCATGATCATTCCCGGGTAAAAGCGGCGGAACTCTGCTTTTTTAGGGGAGCTACCGGATAGCGTCGCCTCAGGTCGATGCAACTTAACTTCAAGCACGGTGTTGCCTTCGATCTGGAAGCGGCCGGGCGCCGCGGGCAGTGACTGTGGCAACGGGCTCGCGTTGCCCGTGCCAGGCGCGCGTGCGCGCCCCTCGTACGCGTAGCATGCGCATCGTCGCGCTCGCACTCGCAGCGCTGCCAACCCGCGCATTCATCCATCCAACCACGAGACCAGCGCACACGCCGCGCCGCTCCAATCCCTGGGACCCGCCGGCGCCGGAGGCCTACTACGAGGTGCGCTTCACGCCGCCGCGGGACGTCGTCTACGAAGGGCCGGCGTCCGCCGCGGCCAAGGCGCTCGCCGGCGAGACGCGGACGCACCGCTGCGCGTCGCTCTTCGAGGCGAACGCGCTCGCGCGGCGCGTGACGGTCGCGTCGCCCGCCGCGGCCGTCGCGACGTTCAAGGTCACGGAGAGCAGCGTGCGGCTCCTCGACGCGTCGCGCTCCGTCGCGCCCGCCGACGCGGCCGACGCGTGGGTCGGCGACTTCTCCGACGTCGTCGCCGCCGCGGCCAAAGGCGCGGCGTCGCCCGTCGGCGGCGACGCGGACCGGCAAAAGGTCTGGGACGACGCGCTCCAGGACCTCGCGGAGGAGGAGGCGGCCCAGGCGAAGACGGACGTCGACCGCGCGTGGAGCCGCTACCTCGCGTCGTTGCGCGTCACGGAGGAGCTCGACGTCACGATCGTCGGCGGCGAGGACGGCGTCCGTCCCTGCGACCTCTGCAACGGCAAGGGGTACCGCGCGCAGTTCGGGGACGAGTTCCCCTGCGACTGGTGCGGCGGCACGGGCATTATGCGACGGTAGCCTAGATCACCTCGGTTGGGCGAGCGCGACAGCCCGGCGCGGCCGCCTAGATCTCGATGAGGAAGCGCGACATGCAGATGGCGAAGGCCTGGCTCGGGGAGAACGGGTGCGTGAACTGGACCTCGTAGACGTCGTTGGAGCCGCCGCCGTAGGCGCGGACCTTGGCCATCTGGAGCGCGGGCTCGGGCGGCGCGTCCTCGTCCTGGGCGATGAGCTTGAAGTTCTTGCGGCTCTTGACGGCCTCGGGCGACGGCTGGAGGCCCGACGCGACGTCGAAGCGGCGCACGGGCCGCGCGTCCTTGCGCCGCGCCATGATGTCGGCCATGGAGTCGGCGTTGATGATGGCCAGCTCCTGGTGCGCGATGGACTCGCGCGCCTCCGTCGGCCGCCACTCGTTCGCGTCGCCGCGCGTGCCCGGCGGCGGCGGCAGCGGCACGGACACGGCCATGAAGGACGGGTGCGTCGCCGCGTCGATGGCGACGACGCCGCGCTCCCGCGCGAGCTTCTCCGGCTTGCCCGCGACGTCGATGGGCAGGCCCTGGTCGTGGAGCACGAAGCAGTGCGAGAGGCGGCCGAGCGCGACGCCCGGCTCCGGCGTCGTCAGGCGGCCCACGTAGGTCTCCGCGTTGCGGGGCCAGGGCGCGCCCTCGATGTCGTCCTTGCTCAGGGAGATGCAGCAGTCGGCCACGTCGAAGGCCTTGGCCCAGAGCGTGTGGTGCTCGCCGCCGCCCTCGAAGGACCGCCACGTCCGCGCGCCCGCGAGCGCCGCGCCCGCGTCGTCGTCGTTCCGGACGATGGTGAAGCAGTAGTGGCGCAGCGACTTCTTCATGAGCTTGCCCATGCGCTCGCCGCCGGACGTGATGCGCCGCAGCTCCGCGCGGACGCGGCAGCCCTCGGGCGCGGCCTTCGTCGCCCAGACCATGGGCACCGCGTGGGGGCCCGCGGGCCGGCGGGCGCTGGGCCCCCAGCCGTGGCCGCCGCCGGGCGCGGACCGCGTCGACGCCAGGCCCTGGGGCGTCGGCGGGGGCGCGTCGCACGCCGCGGCCGACAGATCCTCGGACGTCTCGACGACGGCCCGTAATAACCGGACGACGTCCTCGAGGTCGAGCTTCGGCACGTCGGCCTCCCGCGCTGCGTCGTCGATGGCGTCGTCGACGGTTTGCGCCGCCTGCGTGCGCCGGAGCCGCTGCAGGTCCCGGAGGAGCGTCGCCGCGCGGCCCGTCGCCTTCTTCAGCGAGTCGAGGACCGCCGTCGGCACCACGGAGCTCTCGACGGGCGGCGCTCCGCGGCCGTCCTGGGAGCCGAAGAAGGAGCCCTGGCTGCTCCGGTTGTCGCTGCTCCGCAGCGGGTTCGCCGCCGGGCGGTGCGCGCCGCGCTGGTAGGCCGGGCTGCTCGCGTCGCTCCGGTCGTCGGCCGTGCGCCGCTCGTCGTCCTCGGAGTCGAAGTCGCCGTCGTCCCTCGCCCAGGACCGCTCCGTCGGCCGCCGCGGCGGCGACCGCGAGCTCGGCGGGCGCATGGCGTCGAGGCGAGGGCAGCCCGCGCGCCGCAGCCACTCACCTTAACTCGAGAAGCAAGCTGTGGGCAACGATTCAACGACGCGGCCGCATCGGCCCACGAGCTGCCGCAGCTGCGAGCGATAGTAGTCGTCGCGGCGCCGCACGCTCCCTCGCAACAACCATGGGCCACAAGGGCCGCCAGGGCCTCACGCGCAAGGCGCAGCCCGGCCGGAGCCGGTCGAAGATCGTGAGCAAGTTCACGTCGACGCAGAACGTCGACAAGCAGATGAAGACGTCGATCAAGGCGAAGGGCCACCAGCCCCGGCGCAACGCCCGCGCGCCGCGCACCGTCGACGTCGCCAAGCGCGCCAAGCTCGCCCGCGAGCCGTCGCCCGCCGAGCCGCGGCCCGACGGCCGCTTCGAGTTCAGCCACCCGGCGCGCCGCGGCCGCGCGACGGCGCGACGATAGGCGGCCCGCCGCGACGCGCGACGCGCGCGTCGCGCGACGTCCCAGCGTAAGCTCCCGTCCACGACGCGCATCGCGACCTTAGAGCCAGGGCAGCCAGGGCGCCGCGACGCCGGCGCTCGGCGCGTGCTTCGGGCACGCGGCGCACGCGTAGTCGTCGCCCTGGTAGGGCGGGTCCCACTGCATCGGCGGCACGCTCGCGTCCGCGAAGTGCGCGAGGCGGCCGAGGAGGTTGGCGAGCAGCGGCGCGTCGAGCGCCGCGACGACGTTCGTCGTCTCGGACGGGTCCGCGGTGAGGTTGTAGACCGCGAGGCCGTCCGGCGAGAAGTCGGCGGGCATGCCCGGCCCCGCCGACGGCCCGCTCGCCGCCGCGCCGTCGGCGCCGGCGACGGCGTAGCAGAACGCGAGCAGCTTCAGCTCGCCGACGCGGAGCGCGGCCTTGGGCGCCTTGGCCTGGCCCGCGTCGCGGAGCGGGCTCAGGCCGTACAACACCTCGGTCCGCGGCGAGGGCGCGCCGAGGGCGACGGCGTCCCAGACGTCGAACCCGTCGAGGCCCGCCGGCGCGTGTCCCGTCGCCAGCGCGACGAGCGTCGGGTGCCAGTCCGTGACGTGGAAGAGGCCGGCGCTCCGGGCGCCGCGCCGCGCCGCCGGGACGCGGTTCCTCGACGAAACGAAGGCCGCGACGCGCGTCCCGCCCTCCCAGAGGAAGCTCTTGACGCCGCGGAAGGGGTGGTTCCGCGCGATGTAGTCGCCGTCCCGCGTGTGGTCGACGCTGTCCTTCCCGAACGCGGGCGCGCCGTTGTCGCTCGTGAAGACGACGACCGCGTCGTCGAAGCGGGCCGCGTCGAAGCTTTTGGCCGCGTCGACGATCGCGCCGACGGCCGCGTCCATCTCTGTGATGTAGCCGAAGAGCGTCCGCTCGGCGTCGGAGAATTTCTTGGCGGCGTATTTCGCGCGGAACGCGGGCGTCGTCGTGTAGGGCCCGTGGACGTTCTGGAAGGCGACCTCGAGGAAGTAGGGCGTCGTCGTCCGCGCCGCGAGGAACGCCGACGCCGACGCCGCGAGGACGTCGCTCGACTTCGTGCGGTTCGCCGCCGGGGCCGGGACGCCGTCCTCGAACCAGTCGTAGCCCGCGTAGCGCCCCGCGCAGGTGAAGTTGTCGTCGGCGTCCGGCGAGCCGGCCTCGCAGCACCTGTGTGGACATCAACCACTCGTTTGGGACGTCCCGACCAAACTTTGAAATTCTCGAGCTCGGTCAATTCGAAGTCGATTCGGCTGATCTTTGGACGAATCGATGGCTCTCGTCGAGTTCTCGGAGCACGGCCGAAGAGGCCGGTCCAAACCCTTTCGATTACGCGCACATTGACGTCGAGTTGAAGATTTGATTTCCACACGGCGCGGCACGCGGCGACGTGCGTGAACGCGCTCTCGCAGCCCTGGTAGTAGCCCACGTGGGTCCCGAAGCCGCGGGACAGGGGCGTGAATGCGTCGGCGTGCATGCCCAGGTGCCACTTGCCGAAGAGCGCCGTGTCGTAGCCCGCGGCCTGCAAACGCTCGGAGACGAACGCGTGCTCGAGCGGCACGGACCACGGCGTGTCCCAGTAGATGACGTTGGACTGCGTGCCGAGGCGCGCGGTGTACTTGCCCGTCATGAGCGAGCTGCGCGTCGGGCTGCAGATGGGCGCGACGTAGTACTGCGTGAGCACGACGCCATCGGCGGCCAACGCGTCGAGGAACGGCGTCTCGATGCCGCGCGTGGCGTTCATGAAGTTCACCTCGTTGTAGCCCAGGTCGTCGGCGACGACGAGCCAGAGGTCGGGCGGCGCCGCGCCGGCGGACGCCGCGACCAGCAGCGGGGCGCAGCGCGAGACCATCATCACGAAGAATCGGCAGCCCATAAGCCGTGCTTGAACCTAGCTAGGCCTCGAGCGCCTCGTGCTCGCAGAGCACGCGCGATGGGCAGCCTCTCGACGATCGTGGCGGCCTCGTGCCTGTGGGCTCCGGCGTCCGCTGCGGGCCTCGCGGACCACGACTGGCCCATGTGGGGCCAGAACGCGCAGTACACGTCCTACAAGGGCGTCGTCGCGTCGGACGCCGGCGACCGCGCCGAGTGGACCATCGCCGCCGGCGACCGCGTCGTCGGCAGCCCCGCCGTCGCCTTCGGGCGCGTCTACTTCGGCAGCGACGACGGCGTCTTCCGCTGCGCGAACAAGACGACGGGAGACGTCCTCTGGACCTTCGCGGTCCCGGCGCAGCCGGCGTGCGACCCGAACTGGTGCGAGCACGGGCTGTGCGCCTGCGAGAAGATCCGCAGCTCGCCGGCCGTCGACGACGCGGGCGCGGTCTATTTCGGCGCCTACGACCACAACGTCTACAAGCTCGACGCGACGGGCGCGGAGGTCTGGCGCTTTTCGACGGGCGGCGCGGTCTACGGGCCCGTCGCTTTAGATACGGACGGCACGGCCTTCGTGGGCTCCTTCGACGGCTTCGTGTACGCCGTCGACGGCGCGACGGGCGAGCAAAAGTGGCGCGCGGACGTCGGCGCGCACGGCGACGCGGGCTGGGGCCTCGCGCCCGGGCCGTCGGGCGCGGCGTCGCTCGTCGTCGGGCAGACGAACGAGGGCGGCAAGTGCTCGTCCTGGCCGCCGCCGGACGTGCCCTCCTGGAACGGCAGCCACTCCTGCGCCGACGACTGCGGCCAGTGCCACGCGCTGGCCCTCGACGCGAAGACGGGCGAGGAGGTCTGGCGGGCGGCGACGAAGGGCCCCGGCGGCGGCGGCACGGTCGCCGTCGGCGCGGACGCCGTGTCCTACCTCCTCGGCGACTGGTCCGGGACGGTGTCGGGCGTCGAGATCACGTCCGGCGCGAATCTGTGGAGCTTCGACTTCGGGGGCGACGTCGAGTCGCGGCCCGGGCTCCACCCGGACGGCACGGCGTACGTCTCTGTGTGCAAATCAAATCTTCAACCCGACGTCAATGTGCGCGTAATTGAACGGTTCGGACCAGACTTTTTGGCCGTGCTTCGAGAACTCGACGAGAGCAATCGATTCGTCCAAAAATCAGCCGAATCGACTTCGATTTGACCGAGATAGAGAGGTTTGAAGTTTTGCTGGACGCGTCCATTCCACTGGTTGATTTCCACACAGGTACGTCTCCAC